TACCTGAAGCAAACTCATTCCATCCCTTGTGCATGTATACTTAAGCGTATAATGGAGGCCAACGAGATTTTGACTCCAAAATACTTACACCAATTTTGGAGCACACTTGACATCGGTGAGGTTACAGAGAAGGATAGTTCGGATGATGTTCCCCCTCACAGATTGTTGTTCAGGCAGTTAATGGAAGAATTGGACGCTGCTGAGGAGCCAATACAGCACGAGATCACCAGATTGATCTACAACAAACTTCACCCGGGCCAAGCCGGATCGGATGAACCACGGGTTGGAAAGAGAGGCAAGGGCAGGCCGAAGAAAAGAGGCATCGCAAAAAGAAAGCAAGACAAACCAAATGTGTGGGCATACAGGGACGGCAGTCAGGGTGGCACCAATACCAGCGGTTCCAGTAAAGCAGGTACGAGGCAAGGTACCTCGGGTCAAGGTGGGACGAACACCCACAGTTCCAGTAGAGGCCATACGTCGGGAGCTGAAGATCAGAGCAGAGGTCCGATATTACTTTATCTTTCTAAATGTGCGAAGCGCACGAGGTATGTACTGCACGTAACCGAGCTGGTGTAGCACTCTCTCCGGCATGTATGGCTCCTGGAAGTCGTGGTACATAATTCTGCCCCCACTACTGTCAAGGAAGAGTGTGAGGCTAACAAGATCTATACCCAAGCTTGAACCTAAACAGCGGGGAGGACTCTGCGACAGCACTCCTCGATCAACATGTCACTCACACCTCCATGGCTCCATGCACGCTTTAACTCAGCCACCGGCATCCCAAGCAGTCCCGTGACCTGCATCTTCAAAATTTCCCCTTCCGGAGGTTGGGTCAACAAGTAACCATCAAGTGGAATCGCCAAAATGTGTGCCACATCATGCATCATTATGGTCATTTCCCCAAACGGCAAGTGAAAAGAGTTTGTGTCGGGCTGCCACCTCTCTATGAATGCAGAAATAAGCACAAGGTCAATGTCATCATACATGGTATCAATCAGATGATACAAACCGGTATTCTGAATCTGCAACTGTGCGTTCTTCGGCAACCTCGCATACCATCCATACAATCTAGACAAACTTTTCTTCGCTGGCTTCATCTTCAGGTAATCTCTTGGTTCTCCATTCCACAACTGATAAGCAGTGTGGCCAAGAAAACTAGGAATCACTGACCCATCAAATGGCCCGCCAGGTACGTCGTCCGTCACAACCCAATCATCAATTTCTTCATTAGAAACCTTAGACCGTCTGCTAGTACCTGAAACCCGAATAAAGAATAGTTGATAAATACTTAACTGAATGCAATTAAGAAATTGACCAATCAGTAATGAATGCTGAAATATTTACAAATACGTACCTGATGACGTTGCAGTTGCCTCAGGAAGGCTAGAGGCACCAATGGATGCACCACCAAAACAGGAACGAGGCTGAATAGTCAGAGAGGGACCTCTAAAAAGAGTACTCTGCGGGCCGGCATGATGAAGAGTAGTACTGGGACCTCTAAAAAGAGTACTTTGTGGGCCGACACGAACACTGGAACCACCAGGAGTGTAAGCTGAATTCAGGACCGATAATCCAACAATGGTTTCCCCCTCTCCCTCCCCCCCCCCCCTCCGGGTAGGGTGAACTGGAGTCTGATCATCAGTACGACCAATGGGGTTCAGTGACTGAGTTACCTCCAAAATGTATATCCCTCCTCTCAGGCGAGGAATACTCGGCTGCCTCATCCTCCTCATCCACATCATCCCCCTCCACTCTCAAAACTATCCTCTGCTTCTTCCTCTCCCTCAAAATTATCATCATCATCTACGTTGGCTGACTCACCAAGTGGGCCAAACGTAGGATATACATTTTTCACTTTCTTTAATTTTTTTTCTTTTTCCATACGATGTTCTGCATAGAGATTGCGCGTAACTGCATGTCGATGTCCAGATCCCTCAAGAGGCGATATCCCATCCTACAAAAGTTTTAAATTTTACACGTAACTTTAATTAATCATGAATGTGTCCCGAAAAAAATTAATAATTTAGGTTAATTACTTTAATACAGTTTTACATTAGTTAACTACCTAATCATAAAATTATCTACTATACATCTTAAGTGTACAATTTATTAAATCTACAAAGTACAATTAATAATATCTACATATTTTATTTTTCTTTTTTAACCAAAATTAAATAAATATTTTATTAAATATTTTAACCACAATTATTATTTAATTTTAACCACAATTAAATAAATATTTTATTAACTCTAATTATCTACTAACCTCTTTTTTTATTTAATTTGTACTTATTTATTTAATTTTCCTATACTAAGTATTTAATTTCTACCGTTTAATTTTTTTTGAGGCTTAGTACAATTAAACCGACTACTCCTACAAATATAGTTTCTATAATTAAATTAATTATAATAACTTTCATAATTTTTTAAATTAATTTAAAAATCGTGAAGCTCCCTAAAACTACAATTGAATTCCTAAAACTACAAAAGTATTATAACTAAATTATTTACTGAAGATTAAACATATACTTTTAATAATAATATTTCGTAAATAAATTAAACTAATAAAAATAAATTCCTACCATTAAACTATAAAATCAAAAATTTAACTAATAATAAATAATTAAACTAAATTTCATAAGATTTACAATTACTAATAGTAACAGTTAAATTAAAATTACTATACAATTCATAAATAACAATTAAATTTAAATAAATAATATAAAAAATTAATATAATACAAAAAAAAAACAACAAAAACCGGCACCGGCATATGACCGGCGCCGGTAAATCTCGCTAGGCGGTTAGTGCCTAGAGAGACCTTTTCGCCCTCCCCCCCCTCCTTTCGGCGGCGAAGAAAGGGGCGCCACCCCAGCCGCGGCCAGCGAGGGAGATCCGCGCCGGGGCAAGTAGAGTTGGCTCGCAAATCCGCGCCAGCTCTATAAGGAGTGCCACTCTACTTGTCCCGACGCGGATCTCCCTCGCTGGCCGGGGCTGGTGATTTTTTTTTTTTAAAAAAAAATAGTTGAAATTCAATATAATTGAAAGAAACAATTCAAATTTTTACGTACCTTCAGTTTCCGTAGCCGTTTCATTCGTTCAGCCATTGAATCTAAGTTTTTGGGAGTTTGGATTGAGAGAATTTGAAATGAAAGATTGTTTTAGGAATTGAAAGAATGAAATTAAAACTCCTAATTTATAAAATCATGTAGGGGCAAAAAGGTCTTTTGGTATCATATTAGGGCGCTCAAGGAAAATTTTTAGGGCGTTTAGTAGCCTCCGAGTTTTCAAAAAGTATGGTACTAAGATTGGAACCTTGATTAATTATTTCTTTGTGAGGTTTGTTTTTTTTTTATAATAGATCATGAGAAAAATTTTACAAAAAATTTTAACAAAAATAAATCATAACCATCCATACCTTTACCTTTCCTTTGGGGCTTTATGCTTTTAAGGGTTATTAAGATTCATCTACCTCATTTCTTATAAATTCCTTAGTCAAATTTTTCCTACATGTATCACTACTCAATTGTTACTCAATTGTAATATGGAACATTGGGGCCGCTTCTGAATTGTAATGGCTCCTATATGCAAGGTTGGTGTTTTTTTTTTTTTTTTTTCCTTCAAACTCTTTTTCATTTCAAGCAATGGATGCTAAGTTGATTGTGTTCCATTAGAGGCTGAGTTGATTACCAAATTGTAACCAGTTATCACGACTTTAATTTTTTTGATCGTCGGTGATGTGGTTGGATCATTTCCTACAAAATTTATGAAACTGTACCATTTATTTTGAGAAATAAAATAATGCAGTAATTTTTTTCCCCAAAAATAATCTCCTTTATTATAATGTTGTAAGGGAATATCAAATTTAATCTCCCTCAGTAATAATAACAAAGTCGACGCCTCCAAACTCAACCCGTAATATACTCATTTGTCCAAAAAAAATTTTACATTAGTTTTTCAAATTTATATTAATCTTAAAAAATAGTATACATGGAGTTTTGAGTTTTGTACATATAAATTTAAAAACTCAGTTTGGACAATTTTTTTTTTAGACAGATATAGTACTAATTACTTCCAAATTCCAATCCAATATAATAACTTCTGTCTTCCTCTTTTTCTTACCATAAATTTCTTGCCCCAAAACCAAGTAGAAATTAAATAAGATGGATCTCCTGCTTCTCCTTCTCCTTCTTGTTCCTGTTACCCCCTCTTCCTGATTTTCCTGCACAAAAATTCTTCCAAAAAACGGCTTCATCATCCTCCACCACGTCCTTCGGGCATCCCGTTGATCGGGAACTTGCATCGGTTGGATCATTCTGAGCCTCACAAGTATTTCTCGCAACTCTCCCGGAAATATGGCCCGCTTGTGTCTCTCAAGCTCGGATCCCTGCTGGTGCTGGTGGTTTCCTCCGCTAGAGCGGCGGAGCAGGTCATGAAAACCCACGATCTGATATTCTGCAGCCGTCCTCCGACCAGAGGACCGATGAAGCTTTCTTACAACGGCTCCGACATCGCGTTGGCGCCGTACAACGACGAGTGGAGAGAGATGAGAAAGATTTGCGTGGTGCATCTTCTCAGTAACAAAAGGGTTCAATCATTCCGCCCGTTCGCGAAGACGAAGTTTCACGAATGATCAGGAAGATATCACGTGAAGCTGCTTCCGGCAAAGTCATTAACTTGACTGAGATGGTATATTAACAACATCTGTCGTGAAGTCAGGATTTTGTTGAACTGAGACAGTATAATAAAAAAAATGGACTACGGTTTTTTTTTTTTTTTGAGACGAGAAAATACTAATTTAGTTTGAGTTGTCTACCTTAATAGATTCTTTTGGTTTTCAAGCAATAAGGTTTGCAAGTACTCTTTCTGTCTCATAATTATTGTCCAGTTTGGATTTTCATTTTTAGTTTAAATTGTATTAAAAGTGAAATGATAAACTGGACAATAATTATGGGACGGAGGTAGTACATTAATTTGTAGAGTTGGTTTTGGGAAAAGGTATGGGGGTGAAGACCAAGAAAGGAGGAGATTCGATCATCTCCTTCAAGAAGACGAAAACGGTTTTGTGCAATTCCACTTTTCAGATTTTTTTCCCAAAAATTGGTTGGTTGGATCATTTCACAGGCACTTTTTCTCGACTTGACATTTGACAAAGTTTACAAGGAACTGGACTCATTTTATGAAGAGCTCATCGATGAACATAAGAAGTCTAATAGGCCGAATTCAATGGACGGTGACATAGTCGATCTCATGCTTCAATTGCGAGAAATCAACTCAGCTTCGATTTCTTCATTCCAAATCACTATGGACCACGTCAAAGCCATGCTTATGGTATGCTGGTCTCATTCTTCTATTTCTTGAACTTTTTAAAATTGTTTTCCTTATATTTTTTAGTTACCACGCATATTCATAGTGTCTATTATTATCAAGAAACTGTCCCATTCGTTGAATCGTTTTTCAAGAGCTTTGTTAGTTTCCACCCAGGTTCATTTCCTTAACACTTCCTAAGAAAATAGCTTATACTGAATTTTAAAATTTTTATTAAAATAATACTCTCTCTGTTCCAAAATTATTATCCAGTTTGGGATTTCATTTTTAGTTTGAATTGTACTAAAAATGGAAATTAAAATTAGACAATAATTTTTGAACGGAGTACAAATCTCAAAACTCAATGTAAATTTTATTTTTGTTTTCTAGGACAGAATGAATAGTTTTCTTTGCTGACCTCAATTTCACTGATGTTTAATTTCAAGAAAAATGGATTTTATTCCGGTAGAAAATGATGTTTTCAAGTTATTGAGTAATTTGGTCAAATCAGCCTGTTTCAAAGAATATAATAACGTCACTTTCGATGGAGGCACTCTACGTAAAGAAAAATAATTCCTCTGTTCCAGAAAAATTCAAATTGAATTTTGAAATTTATATTAGTCTGACATTATAAATCTCAAAATTCAATTTTTACTTTTTCTTTTTTTGTTTTACAGAGGTATCAGTTGATGTCATTCTATATAGTTGATCAATTTTTTTTTTCCTTTAGACGGGAAATATTAATAAAGAAGAATTTTAGCATGCCTTTTTTTACCCCTAATACCGTATACATTACAGAGATTGATTGTGTACATGATCACCGGAGAATCATAACATGTGGAATATATCGATCGGGATTTCAACAAATTTTTCTCTAAATGGAATTTTCAGGATGTATTTTTTGCGGGAACGAGTACTTCATCGGCCACAATTGTTTGGGTTATGACTGTACTAATGAAGAACCGTACTATAATGCAAAAAGTGCAAGCTGAGATCAGAGACATAGCTGGAAAACAAAGCAAAAGAACAGTTGATGAAGATGATGTCGAAAATCTCCCTTATCTCAAGCCGGTTGTTAAAGAAACCCTTCGATTATACCCTCCTGCAGTCCTGCTCCTCTTTTACTCCCAAGAAACACAATGGAAAATTGCATCTTAGATGGTTACGAAATTCGTTCCAACACAACTGTTTACGTGAATGCTTGGGCGATTGCAAGAGATCCCGAGTATTGGGAAAATCCAGATGAATTTTTGCCCGAGCGATTTCTGGACGGACGTAAAAATAACACAAATTATAAAGAGGGACAAGATTTTAAATTCATCCCGTTTGGAGGTGGACGAAGAGGCTGCCCTGGCTATTCTATGGGTTTAAATGCAGTGGAGTTGGCATTAGCTAATCTCCTGAACTCAATTGATTGGGAACTGCCGTTGGGAATGAAGAAAGAAGATTTGCAGCTGGTGGTAAAACTAGTGCGTGGAGATATATATACATGAGGAATATCTTCTTAAAAGTCTAGGTTAACTTAGATTTAAAAGGTTCAATTTCAGATTTACCCATAGCTGACGATCAATCAATAGGAATATTGGAACGCAAAACAGCACATGAGAGGAACTTCATGGTTTGCATTTGCCATTGTGATCTTACTTTTAAGATGGTGAATTTTCACCCTCCTAAGCCATGACTTAAAAGTATCTCTCTAAAGTATTTTCCTCTTCCCTCTCACTAAACAATTTCCTACCAGAATTTTCCTCCTCCCCAAACCTCTTTTAATGGTGGTTAGGGGAGTTGTCTTTTTTTCTCTATCACCAAGTCTAGTTCCACCTCCGCCACTGAAACCTCCTCCAAATCCACCCCCTACACCACCGCCAAAACCACCACTGCCTCCAAATCGCCCTCCGACGAAGCGGTTACTGCCACTCCACCTTTTCTGGCATCCAAATCGCCGGAACCCCCTTCTGCCGTCCGGATCCATCCTCTGCCGCCCTTCGCCGACTAGATCCATCCTAAACCGCCTTTTGTTGGCCAGTACCACCCTCTGCCGCTCTTTGCCGCCCAGATCCACCCTCTGCCGCATCCACCTCTGCTGCCTTTGCCACCCTCCCGCTGCATCCCTGATCTGATGGAGCCTATGTCAGTCCGGATTTGGTTGTTTTTTTATTGTAGTGTTTTAATTCAATTAAGTGGGATAACCCACCCTCAGTATAGATATCGGATTGATTCTTTACTGAGTGAATTTAGTGTGTCAACGGAACCAAGTCTGTTGGTCGAGTCCGAATTTGATGTGTGCTGTTCGTCGTTCATGACGATAAATTTGTGCTTCAGTCTGCGGACTAGTGATATATTCGAGTTCAGAATTTTATTCTGTTCTGTGATATGTCCGACAATAGAATTATGTCATATAGGATTGTTTTTCCTTTGGCAGTTTTTTTGGTCTAGTCACTAGTGCAGTGATTAGTACCGTGAGTACGTCGTTAGGACGGTTCGAGTACGTCATTTTGGACGGTCTATTCTTGTATCAAATGGTGCTGGACCATCTCCAGTAATCTTAATGGAGTATGTTTTCCTTAAAAAAAAAAAAAAATCCATGACTTAAAAGTCGCGTACTTCCCTTTGACAAATTTTGTTGAAATTTTCTTTAAAAAAGTTCATTTCATATGTATTGAAGGTGTTTCCATATACTAGTGTTAGGTATATTTTGTATTATGGGTATATGTTATTTGTGGGAGTTTCACCCTACTTTGTGTGAAGCAACATCTTTGCAATGAAATGAAATGAATTACTACCTCTGTCTCAAAAAATAGTCCACCTCGAATTTTTTTTGAGAAAGAAGCAGTATTAAAAAAAAAGAGTTCAGGAAAATGAAACAACCATAAGAACAACGCGAGTGCATGTCCTTCTCAGAGAAAAAAACACACACACACACACCGCGGGTGCATGTAATTATTTACAACCATGCTTGCTGTATCAACTGGAAAACCTTTTGCCGATTACTATTAATTTCAAATAATCTATTAATATTCATTTTACAAATCTATTTAGTATGTTATTATACGGACTGAGATTCAGTCCTTTTATACAACCTGACATTTAGCTCCTCTCGTCGTTCTAAGATATAATCATGCAGTCAAACCAAAGCAGATATGGTAGAATTAATAGTACGAGAGAAAGGGTAAAAACCAATTGAAGGACTCTAATAAGCGGATTTCTAACAGGTGAAAGGATCGAATTACATTAGGAATGGAGCCGAAGTCTACTGTGTAAAGAAAAGAAGAAAAATAAAATTGATCTCCTACAAAATGAATGATTGCTACTGTGGTATCTAATGGTTCCTTGATCTTGCTACTACTTGCCAGTAATAAATCACAGGAAGTCACATAATTAACTCAAAATGATGACCAATACCAGTGATCGAGATTACGTAGCCCATTGGACCGTTTTTGTTTAAAGTCCAAAATCCGAAAAATACTGGATCAACTAAATTTTAGCAGCCTAAAGACAGTCAGTCTCAAGGAAATAGTATATTAGATACTTTGTTATTTAGAGTTGGGCTGTACAATTAAGTTACTGGGTCAGAAGTCAGAACCTTGTCAATTCCATTTGGTAGAACGTAAATACTTCCAAAAAAAAAAAAAAAAAAAGGGGTAGAACGTAAACATAAAGAAAATGAATATAGGGCGTAAATGTATTAATTAATGTACTAAAGGCAAATCGATCAAATATCAATTATCGTGTCATATTAACTATGTAATTAAACAGATATCGTGTCAAAACTTAACACCCTGATCCGGAAGCTCAGGCTGCTTGCATAAGGTGACTCAATGCTTGTACGTGGTTGGATGTAAAATAAGTAAAATTATTGACTGCAGTCTTGATCGTTAAAGGTAGTAGATTAAATTAATAAAATCTTTGCCAATTTGTTTTTTAAAAAATTGTAATTCAAAACCACAAAATTATTATTAAAGCAGAAAAGGGAAATAAAGAGAAAAAAGAATGAGAATGAGGGATGAAAAGGACAAGGGGGGTAAGGAATCAAATTGTTATTAAAGCTCAACGATTATGATCATAGTACGATTTCTTATTGTATGATTATTACAGATTAACTTTACCTATGTATTACTCCTTCCGTCCCATAATTATTATTCAATTTAGATTTCCATTTCTACTTCAAATTATACTAGAACTGAAATATCAAACTGAACAATAAGACAGAAGGAGTACAATAATTATAAATTACAGCTTGATGAAGAAGCTTCTGAATTGCATAGAGACAGACGCACGGGCCCGTAAAGTTTTTTTCTTCATATATCAGCTTGACAATTCGAACTCGTTTGCCCCCAACATCAGAAAAACTAATTTGAATTCAAGTTGGACTGCATGATATGAAGAATTAAAATTAAAAAGAATAGTAGAATTTGCCAATTTCCTTTTTTAAGCCTGCAATCCAAACATGAGTTGTGGAATTCAAGCCCACAAACATGAGTTCCGTAATTCAACACCACAAAAAGTATAAGCCAAACTCATAATCCAAACCAGCCGACTAGTCTTCGCGGACTACAAATAGTTACTATTCCTCCGGTCAATTTTTAATTTTACGTTTGAAAAATGTACAAAAAAAAGAGTAAAAATTTAAATAAAACAATAATTATATATATATATATATTCTAGAGTGACTATTTAGTTTGATTGGATTTGGTCGTTTCATCAAGTTCGTAGAACGGATTTGCTTAGCTAACCACCAAAAAAAATAAAATAATAATAAATAAATAAATAAAGGAAAAAAAAAAGAGATTTCCCCTAAAATATGAAAATTAATGGATGCGCGCTGATTGAACAAACCTGTTCCTCATTAAAAATTTTGATTGTTCTTCATGAATGATACTTTCGATCTTTAATATAAAACATTTTGATTTGTCCTAACTCTTAAATTTACTCTAATATTTATTTTTAATTGACAAAAAACTTAAAAATATACCATCACAATCAAGAGAATACAACGAAAGTGAAAATTTATTTTTAAGATTTTAAAGGTGAATCCAAGGACAAAATCAAAATGCCCAAAATTAAGGACGGATGGAGTACAATGCATATTTTTTGTCCCCGCGCGGACATTACATTACTTACATCGCATGAATTGATTAGATCATTCAAAGCTCTGAAGATTTACGGTGATCATGATGGTGCCCTACATCATGTATTTTCTCCTTCACCTTCTCCGCCGTGACATGAGCCGCCTCCCCCACCGCCTCGGCGGCTGATTTAGCCGTTTCCTCCACCGTCTTCTTGCTAGCCTGAAAACTCTTCTCCGCCGCCTCTTTCACGGCCGCTCCGGCACTGTTTTGGCCATCGTCGTTAATTCCCTTATCACTCGGCGCAAATATACTCCTGAAACTGTCGTAATCATCCAAACCCCCATCACACAAAATGAGTTACAAAATTAAACCCAAGAAACTAATTTGCAACTTAAAAAGTACTATAAAAAAGAGTACTTACTCTAAATCTGGTGGGAAGAACTTGATCTGAAGCTGGTAAATGGTGGATTTGATCTTTTCCCAATATTGGGTTGGTGATTTTGAGGGTTCTTTTGCATTTTCAGGATCTGCAACTGTAAACCAAACAAGAAATGCTACGATTATAACCACTCTTTTGACATTATCCATTTTGGATTTTTTTTTCCCCCTTCAAATTGAGATTTTTTGGGCGAATGGGATGTAAGAGAGTGTAAGCTGGTTGCTTCCCTTTGGAGTTTGGAACTTCTTTTGCGGTGGAAGTATTGGGTGTTCAACACGTACTCCTCCATATGGCAGTGTATAAATATCACTTACGTTTGTTTCTCTTTTAATTTTAAGCCACCTGTTGTGGAGAGAACCCGATTTGGCATACAAATCTATTCTACTGCTACAATTTATATCATGATAATTGAGAAATTTTATATGTCTCATGTATCAAGTTCACATTCGAATCAATTAAGTAACCAATATTTTATATATCTAATATAAACATTATGTTGAACGCTCAATTTATTCGTAGCAAAAATTTGGTACATTTTTAATTTAAAATTTTATTTTTAGTTTGAATTATATTAAAAATAAAATTTCAATTGAAACAATCTTTTTGAAACAAAAAAAGGAACGCTTATGTCTTTAGCATCGATTGACATCGCTATTAATAATGATAACAATCATGATGGCAATATATATATGCTGAGAATAAAATACATTAAGATGAAATATAATGTCTGTAGAAGTTAACTAGATTATTTGTATAAAACTGTCACGAAATGATAATCAACTTTATTTTTTTAAAACTTACCACCTATCGAGAGATAATACTATTAGGGAGAGACTCCACTGGAAAGTGTCTCCCGCTTGAATATCCGGTCCTCCCTGGTCGGCATGTGCAAGTCTCGTGCCTGCTTAATGAGGCTGCTTCGGTTAATTACTTACTTCCACCAACAGCTATTTGCTCGTTGCATCTCTGCGGTAGAATCGAACTTCCAACTCTCAATTAATACTACAACACCCTAACTATGAGAGCACGACTCCATTCCTAACTTTACATCTTAATTTCTGCTTCGAAGATTACTTATGTGAGAAATAATTTTCTTTACCTTGCTTTTATATAGGGTACGTCTAGTAATTAAGAATAATAATGAACTATTACCTTCATTTTTTAATCTGTCATTTCTTTTAGGATGAACCTTACATATTTTCTTACATGTCGTGTTTTAATACTATAATGTTAAATATAGTATTTTCTATTTTACTTTTATTTATCTACTTTTAATAACACATATTAAAGACAATTATCCTTTTTTTTTAAATTCCAATTTTAAAATTTTGTACGGCCGAAGGAAGACAATACACTTGAAATTAAAACCTCAATCATTACTCCCTCCATTTCAATTTTTTGGCCAGTATAGTCCGTTTGGAGAGATTTTAAAAAACGTAGGTCGTTTTATAAATTTTAGTCATATTAGTGACTATTTTTCTAACTTTACCCTTAATAAATTATACTAATCTATTTTTATTTAGTCTTTTTTATAGTTTTAATATAATTAATGAGGGGTAAAATAGATATTTAACACTTAAATTAATAATTGGATGATTGTCTCCTTAGATTACGTGCCAAGTGTAAAAAGACTTACATTTTAAAATGTTGGGAGTATTTACGTAATAAAGAAAAGAGGGGGAGGAAGGGCTCGCTTTGACAACTAAGTGTAGATAATCTGTTCCCCGTCTTTGCACTTAATCTTATTGTATAATATTCTGTGATATTTGAAAGTCACCATTAATATCTCGGGGTAGGTCCGGGATAATCCTTTATTCCATAGATTCAGGACCAGGAGTATCTACAACTAGCCAATTAAGAATTGTAAAATGTACTAAAACTAGCACTAAAGTCACATAAAAAAAAAAAAAATGAAGGCAACGATTATATATAAAGCTCTCCTAAACGAGGCACGTCTAATTTTGTAATTATAAGTTTATAACTTGAAAACAGCCCACGTACAAATCGTACACCTTTCCGTTAGTCTCCTTAATTACTACGTACTGTCTGGACCAGAGTACACATCACTCTATCTTGTTAGTTTTTCTGAAGGGAAGATTCTTGAGGAACCTAGAATTTCTACCTTGTTTGGGAAATTTTGAGGCGTTGAAATCTGTTACTGATGCATACGCGCGAAAGGAACTCTTTAACTCAATTTAATTAAGATTTGTTTAAGTTGGTCATCTACCAATGTGCTTTTTGTAGAATTCAAACAACATAAACACGTCATAACTGACTATACTGGCCAAATTCGGTGGCATCTTTTGGTTGCAAAAGAGATGAACAAAATTTGTGATTTTGTCATATTTCCAAATTAACATCCTTAGATGTTTTATATTACTTTTAGGTGATACCCCTCCAATTACACACCTAACGTAAACGTACACCCCAGTCCAATTAGTGGTTTATTCACTCTCTTCTTTCGATTTTAAAGACGTTATCAATTAATGTAATTTCTAAAATGCTACACACGACGAGTAAGTCAGAAAATCAATGTAATATCGATCAAAGTATCACATGATCGGTTCACATTGATAATGTGCAAACAAGGTTCGTGCTAGAAATTAAATGTGAGCATTCAAATTAATTAACTTTTTGTTTCATTCAGGCCATGAAAAAGGAACAGTTTAGTCAAAGAGAGTTCATGATTTGGTGTCTAACGTACGCATGTTTTAAATGACGAACGTAGAATTAATTTTCTGTTTTTTCCCCGGCCTTTTTCCTCTAATCGTTACGATCACCAAGCATAAGCATAATTTTGAGGAGTTGAAGTTTCGAAGTCCTAAAGAAACTCCCAAGTCAAATCAACGAGGATTTGTTTAAGTTGGTAATCAACCCATTATGCTTTTGCTTTTAAGTGGAGTTCAAAACATAGGAAAAAAAAAATGAAATAGATCATTTGGGGTGGTAGTAAGTAGTAACTAAATAATATTGTTGCTGTGAGATCGTCGGCGTTCAATCTCCATGGGGCAATCCGATTTGGAAAAAGAAAATTGTAGTTAAAAGTTCTGGAAAGACAAGAGAATTGATTATGCATATTGCTACTTGTTTCCGTCGCATTTTCATTTTATTTCAATTTTCAAGGAAAGCCAGATCGATCAACATTTTTACCCGTATCATGTCGCAATTTTATCTCATACATGCACAGTTTAGAAGCTTAAATAGAGTTTACCACAAAAAAATAAATTTCGGTCGACGAAGGAAGTAAGTTTATTATTATCTCTATGGCAAAGGTACAAGTTTTTATTATCGACGATTTATCACCATTGCCTCTAAATTAGTTAGTATATAGAGATTATAAAGCCTAACAACATTGAAATCTTCGAGATCAATGCTGGATTTGCAAACTGAAAATACATAGAAAGGGGGGAACTTTACCAAATCAATGTTCTAAAAAAAAAATACAGGATGGAATAAGATTCGTTTTCCCTGAAGAAACTATGCAATCACTCAAATGACCAAGTAAATAAAAAACAACCAAATCACCGGTGGACTTTGGATGCTGAAATGAGGCACATAATTTTCAGATCCTAAGCCCACCTTTTGCTAACATTAACCTTCAAGCCTTGCTTAATGTACAAAATTACTGAAACATTAGGCTCAATCACTTGGCCTTCCACCACTTTAATTTGGTAATTGTGGATTATGGATGCTGCGACTGCCTTAAGCTGAGTAAAAGCCACTTCTTTACCAAGGCAAGTCCTTGGACCTGCATTGAAAGCCAAGAACTTGTATGATGGCTCATGCTTAATCGTCCCGCGATCCGAAATCCATCTCTCAGGCTTCATTTCCAGGCAATCTTTCCCCCAGATTGATGTCATTCTTCCCATTGCATACAAAGAGAACAGAACCTTCATTTTCGGATGAACCCGATGGCCGCTCGGAAGGATGTCTGGCTGAATTGGCTCCTTATGTTGGAATGGAACAGGTGGATAAAGCCTCAATGTTTCACAAATTGCACCATGTAAATACACCAGCTTGTTGAGGCTTTGGACGTCAAAAATCCGCCATTTTTCCGCCTCCCCCGGAGGCGTAATTGATCTTAATTCCTCCCTGATCTTCATTTCAACATTTGGATTTTCAGAAAGAAGGTAAAAGAACCAAGTAAGAGCTGAGCTGGTTGTATCCCTCCCTGCAATCATGAGATTCAAAATGGTGTCCCTTAAGAACTTATCATCATTAGGCAATTCCATAGTCTTCCCCTCATTGATGAACGATGTTAACAGATCATCTCCATCTTGATCCTCATTCCCTGAATCCGCAGACTTTTTCAGTTCTTCGCGCTTTTTCGAGATGTAATCGCCAATAACTCTGTCTAAGGTCTTCCAAGCTTGACTATATTTCCTTTCTTCGCCAGCATTTATCAGCCTCAGCAACTTCCAGATGGCCTCGGGCATGATATGCCTTACAACTATGGCTTCTTCGGCGTCATCCATCGCCCTGGCGAACGGAACATCAGGGAATTCGACTGATACACATCCAGGATCAAATCCAGTAACCAATTTACATGTTGTATCAAATGTAAGCCTCTGAAACAAATCCTGCAAATCCAGGATTTCCCCTGTTTTGCAGAACTGATCAAGAACCGGAATCAGGCCCTTCTCGACTTTATCACGGCTTGTCCTGATCAAGAACTTATGAAACCTCTGATGATTGATCAAGAACCTGGTTGTTTTCCTCTGGGTTTTCCACAAATCCAAATCCGAATTGAAAATCCCATCTCCCAAAACATCAAATATTTCCTTGAATTTTGGCCCTTTGGGATAATTCGGGAAATTCCCGCTCATGATGTGATGAATATTCGCAGGATCAACAGTCAGCAACATATCCATATCAAGAAACCATGGACCTTTAAACAGGTAAGTCCCTCCGGCAACCTCTGCGATCTTGGTGCATCCCTCGTGAAGCCGATTCGCGTGCTCGACAATGCTCGGCAACATTCCGACGAACGGCCAATTCCAAGGCAGCCCATTATCGTTCCTCAACGCCCAAAGATAGAAAAAGCAGAGAGCTGCCATGATGATTTCAATGTAACCCCATCCCCAATCTCCCAACAGGGCCATTTCGAGGTAACCAATTTTTTGAAGCAGAGGAAAAACAGAGGAGGAATTTTATCTGTGATGAACACGACCAAAAAAAGAACTAGAAAACGTTAGCAGAATACAACGTAATCTGATTCGAAAGACTGGAGGTTTTTTTTTGTTTTTGCTACGCGGCAACTTTTAACTACTAGCTAACCAGATTTAGTGTGACAGAAAAGTATGAAATGATCTTTTGGGAGTTTCTGCCATTTGTAGGAAACATTAGTTAGTGCTGCTTTTGATGTGAAAATGCTATATACTACATAGTGTTAACATCATCATGATAACTGTTGATTGGATTTTTTCTTTTTTGGGTGTTTTTCATTTTCATCTAATTCTCTTCCAACGGGGAACTACTAAATAATTATTCATTGGAAATTGGCAAGCAAAGAAAATAAGGGTGTGGATTTCATCACCAATTGGAAAATGAGACCCCTCAATTATTACATCAGTTACTATTGGGAAAAAAATTAGGAAATAATTTAGAGTTTGAGTATAATAAATACTCATTAAAGATTTTCAGTTACATTTTATTTTCTGAAAATAAAAAAAGGACAAGAAAAGAATTTCTACTAGTTGAAAACTCATTGCTGATGTTATGCTCTATGTTAGGTGTGGCATTGTTGTGGCTACAATGTTTTGACCTGGAGATACCAAGTGCTTTGGAGATTTGAAATCCTGAACTTATGGTTATGATTTTCATCCTTTTTTTTAACTATCACCCAAAGTTTTGTATGCATCTATAAAAATTTTGAAAAAAAATCAAAAATGGATTTGACAATTGTTTATTCTATATATCAAGTTGAGACTGTTAATTTCATTCTGTAAGAGATACAAATATCAATCAGAATAAAATTTATTAATCAAAGTCCCAAAATAAAAGTTTATATTGTTAAAGTTTTATGGGCCAATTTGACTTTAATATAAGCGTGAAGTGTGTTGAGTCTAGAAAACAACTAAATTGGTAGAAAACTCCATAATTATATTTTAACACTATATACCTTAATAAAATGAACATATATATGATGGTTCTGCTTCCCTTATCTAAGTTGCTCAACTACTCATACCTCAAACATAACATAGGTCAACTAGTCGTAACATCAATTTTGTACTTTGTTTAATGAAATAGTTGAGCTACAAGTCATTTCAGCTCAGCTAGAGAGAAAAGAGAAAAAAAAAAAAACAACAACAAAAAAGAAATCAAATTAAGTAAAAATTTTTCTTAATTAGAACAGTTGAATAAGAGATAGAACAAACATTTTATTTTTCCAAACTATGTAGACTCCTTAAATCGACTTATTTCCGATAGCTCTTCTTCACTTGGATTAATTCTAACAAGTTTTTTCAGTTGATCACATGGGTCAACCACCCAACCTTAAGCCCTTTAACATAAACCGCAGGTTAAAACTATAAGAAAGATGAAAATGGACAGTCTGGGACAAAAAAAAAATAAAAAATAAAAAATACGCGCACACACACACACACTAGCGAAACTAAAATGACAAAAATAAAGTGTATTGTACCCTAGAATGATTGTGATTCCTGAATAAGCGATCGAGAAAGCTTCAATACTTTGTCAGGGAGAGTGGCCTGTACATTTCTCCAATTAACCTTTCATTTCTCGTAAAAACCCTATTGGGCAGCAGAATTTAAATATCAATTTGGGAAAAAAGAGGTAGATGAAGAGAGACTTTTTCTCAAAGGAGGTAGGAACTAACAGATAAACCAACTTAATTTAAAGTGGTACAGAATTGATTTGTTTTGACAAATTTACATAGGAAAAATCAAAAATTAAAATGGCTATAATATAAGAGAATGATAGTAGCAATATTTATATACTTTTAATTTGGTCTCATTTCCCCCCTAATAGTTAATGGGTAGAATCAGTTACGTGAAATTATTAATTGGCATTGACATGTTCTTCTTTAATTCTAAAACCATAAAAGATTGGAAGTTTTCATGAAAAATGTAAGTTACGTGACTAATACTGGTTTTCTCCTTTTTGATTAAAAACAGAGAAGAAAAATTTATTTGGAATCATATGGGCATAGAACTCTCAACCGTTGCAGTCACACACTGATTGACACATTATTACATTAATGATGTTGATCAGGCAACATGATTAATGAAAACAAAAGGGAGTGGAGGGATAATGACACAATTGTAAAAACTAAGTAAATATGTTTTATCATATTGATATGAATCAAAAGGCAGTGGAGGGATAATGACACAATTGTAAAAACTAAGTAAATATGTAATCTAGTATTTTCATCACGTCCTTGCTTATAGATCTTCAGAGACCATTTTTTGTTTTTTGTTTATTAAACTTGATAAAAATTAGCCACCTTGATTGACGTAAGAAATTTGGTGGTGAAAAAGAATTTAATAGAATCCAAAAAATTGAGACACTTTGTCATGCATAATTCCTCTAGTTTTTTTTTCATTTATCATTAGGGTCTTATAAAATTTTAATTCATTTCCTCTCCCAATAAAGTCTCATTCATTAAAATTACAGAAAAAAATTTTGTTTTGGAACAGAAGGAGTAACAAATGGAACCAAGACCTATTGAAACACATATTAATCAGTATTGGTTAAGCTTTCATATCTTCAATTCAGAAAAGCTCAAGTAATCAAATCTAGAGCCAAAACGGGTCAGAAAAGTCTAAGCACTCGTCACCTGAATAATACTGAAAAATGGGAAAGACAAAATTTATGCAGTTCAACATCGTAACTGACCTTAGTTATTTGATCTTGACCGCTTCCTTTGATTATGTAACGTTTTTCTGCTGGGTAAATCCACCTGAACATCAAGACAATAAAAAAAATAAAATCATCATTTGTAACATCATCGATCCATATATTCATCGTATCGACAAAAAGAAAAAAGTGGATGAAAAATAAAATAAAATCTTACAAATTGTATCAAAACTTGAGAAAATTCGTAATCTTTTCCATGAGTTTTTCATTCTTGAGAAGATCTAAAGATAAGTATTTGCAAAGTGTAGGAAAGGGAAATGTATAATTGTGTGTTTTCTCATTGCAAAAATTGAATGGATACAACGATCAGTGTGATCGCGATTCAAATGGATAATCGTATGTAATTATGAGGAAATAACACGATTCGTTGTACTTGGAAGACCAAATAGTGATAATGATTCCCTTCTTATCAATGATTTTGTGACAAGATTACGTTTCTTTTTCTTCGTCATTTAGATTTCCTCATCGGGAAGTAAATGTATTTAGAATTTTGATTATGTACGTAACTGAGTGGCCAACAAAAGGAAGATATTGGAAATAAACTAGTCGTATTTAGTACATAGTATTTTCTCCATCTATATTTTCAATTCCTATTTTTGTAGTTCAACAGTTTATGCTCCTGAAGATCGAAAATACTCCCTCCGACCCTTTATCTACGTAGTATTTTAGGTTTCACCTAATATACATTTTGAATTAAAGAAAAAATCTTCAAAATATATTTTCATATTCGTTGTGTTTTCTTAATTGTTAAGAAATGTTTGTAAGATTTTTTTGCCAATTAAAAATACATAAAACCTAAGACAAATCAAAATTTCTTATATTAAGAACCGGATGGAGTAACTCGCTAATTGGTTGTGTTAATTTACCGTCAAATTTGCCATATGAATATTATTCGAACCTGGCTAAGGACTGTAAATCGGCATTCAAGAAGCCGAGAGATCAAATCATGTTTAATTAAAATGGGGAGTTCACAGGGGAAGAACGAAGAAATGATCTAAGAGAGTTAAATTCTTTACTGTTGATTCAAAAAGAAAAACAAAGAACACATAAATAGGAAATTCAATTCCAAGGTGATTTGAGTTACCTGGGATTTCACTTCTGTTGGGTAACAAAATCAAAAGAACAAGAGGGAAATTTGATAAATTACGTTGAATATTAGTAACAACTTGATCAAATCTCCTCCAAATGCATCACACCAGTTTGGTTATATATCTATATATATAGTAGAAGCAAATTAATATCATGGTGCCGTCATGGGCAACGTAATAAGATTCACACTTCGCTTTTAATAAATATAAGCATTAAATTCTTTTTGTAAATGTCGATAATGAATACTCCATCTGTCCTAAAATTATCGTCTAGTTTGATATTTCACTTTTAGTACAAATAACTAAAAATAAAAACTCAGACTGGACAATAATTATGAGACGGAGAGAGTATTTCATAAATATGTGAAATAAACGTGGTTTTATGAATTCGTCTCCCTCTTTATTAACACTTTACTCTTTACGAGAGAGAAAATCGTGTTAAAGTCTTGATCATATACAATCCAAAACATGATCACATCAAGCTTGAAACATGGATTTCAGGCAATTTAATGTCTTTGTAAAACAATATGAATGCCATCAACAAATGTGACGGAAAAATAGCACCCCAACAACATTAACCAATCGAGTCATCCTTCAATAGAAACAAAAAAAAAGAAAAAGAATGACCATGCATTCATATTATACGCTATAGTGATACTAGTGTTTTTTAATCACCTTGTGGAAAAGAAGCTCAAATCTTATTGTTATTGTTGTAAAGATTTAAAGACCAAATGACCAATATATATCTACTGCGAAAAAAACATAAGGAAAGCTTCCAAATTATTAGACCAACTCTAGATTCCGTGAACCTATTAAAAAAATCATTACTGAACAGGAACTTTTTTTACAAATTTTTTTTTTAAAAAAAAAAAAACGCGCACACACACACAAACTATGGTAATTTCAATTTTGTTTTAGAACCTTATACTCAGACTATGAGGCCAGGGAAACCAACCAAGAATGAAAAACATGTGTGAATGGTTAAAATAAAAATCTCAATCCATAAATAATAAACTTATGAAAGACAAAATTGTTATTAACGAAAGCAAAAGTTCAAAAGAAAAAAAAAAAAAAAAAGAAAAAAGAGGGGGGGACGTACCAAGTACCAACTATGTATGTATATTAAAGAAATTGGAGTTTAGAGAAATCGGTAAAGGGCTTTATATATAGCCTTAGATCCGCCCCTTGCCATGAAACCAAAAGTACAACTACTTTGTATTATTGGCACCATACCGGCAAAACTTATAAATCAACTAAAGGATGTATTACCTAAAGCCTAATGGCTTCCTTCGTATTTTTTTTTTTTTTTAAAAGGATGTATTCTTCTTAAACAGCAAGGCAGATTCGGCTACCTGACATTTTTAGTTAGAACCAATATCCTAGCTAGCCCATAAAAAAACTCAAAGCACACTTCGTCCAACCATAGCTTAATCTGCTTTCTTTTGTCTGTGGAAAAAGAAATGAAAGCCGTAGGGAAAATCCATATTTAAGTATAAATACTTATATAATTATCCATTTTTATGTTGATTGTTTCGCCATCCCACCCGTCAGTGTTCTATTTGACCACGAATTTCCTTGGGCTTCAACACTACTTGAAAAGAAACGACTCAGAAATTCTTCCTTAGGAACTTGTTTGATAAAGCCACTTAAGGCTTAAAGTTTTTGGATTAAATATTTTTTTTATTTTAGCATGTTTGATAACAAAAAAATGAATCTCTTAATGAATTAAGTAGTGCTAAAACTACAGTACAAAATATTAAGTAATAAAAGTTAGCTTATTTCTTATTCTGTAACTGTTTAATGAATTCAGTATTTCTAATTCAGCATATAGTATTCAGAATTAAGTAATAATTTTTATCAAACAGGCCCTTAGAACAAACTAATATTTGACTAAAAGATATAATCATGGACAAGATAATTACAACTTTTAAATCCAATTGTAATATATGATGCATATTTATTAAATAAAAAGCTCAATGAATTGTAATAATGAAGTAGAATTAGATCCAAAAGTCAATCAATCGGCTATGAGGCTTTCTTTTTCAGATTAAAGCAGGTGAGTAACTTGAGCTTATGATTTAAAGTTGATGGTGGAACGGAGATAAACAAACTTAACAAAATAATCTTCTCAATTGTGCTTGTCCAAGGATTTCCGATTTTAAATTTAAATACTTATATCGACATTAGCACATCATATTCACAGTGATAAAATACCCATACAAGACAATCATAATAATTAAGCGGTAAAGTATCTACTAAAATTAAATTATTCGCTTTAAAATTACAATTTCAAGCACGATCGTACATCCATATGTTCTTTTTCTATATATAACACGGGGTTACATTTAAATCCACGTGGTGCACCTCAAAGTCAAACATATCAAACCTAGCTAGAACATTAACATATTACATTTTTCAAGTTATGAATTTGATGAACTTGCACAGTTTCCCGTTGGGAGAAATGGAAGACAACAACAAATGTTTAATAACCATGATGTTAGCAAACTAGCAAAATCCATATAAGAAAGTTGTAACAAATGAAGCAGCTAACCCTAACTGTCTCCTAGCTATAAACCCAGAAACCATAATTTAAAAAAAAAAAAAAATCATTACAAACTTATCTAAATCTACAACATTTCATACAGCATCATAAGATTGCTATATATATAATGTTATGTGTTACATTTCAAAAACTTAAGTGCAACCCTTTCTTTGTTTCTTTTTTCACCCTCAACTTTGAGCTAATTAACTACATGTTCAAATGGAAGCATGGGTATACATTGAAATTGCTCTAATGGTAGCATTTCTTTGGTTTTACTTCCTTTCTTCTTTGAGAAAGGATAAAAGGCTTCCATGGAATTGGCCATTTCTTGGTATGTTTCCAAGGCTTCTCAAATATGTCAGCAGGCTTCATGATAGCTGCACTTATCTAGCTTCCATTTCAGGAGGTACTTACTTGTTCAAAGGTCCATGGTTTCTTGATATGGACATGTTGCTAACTGTTGATCCTGCCAATGTTCATCACATCATGAGCGAGAACTTTAAGAATTATCCCAAAGGGCCTAAATTCAAGCAGATGTTTGATGTTTTGGGAGATGGTATTTTCAATGCTGACATGGAGTTGTGGAAGATCCAGAGGAAAAACACCAGGTTCTTGATCAATCACCAGAGGTTTCACAAGTTCTTGATCAAGACAAGCCGCGAAAAAGTCGACAAAGGGCTGATTCCCGTCCTTGATCACTTGTGTGAAACAGGGGAAACGGTGGACATACAGGATTTGTTTCAGAGGTTCACATTTGATACAACTTGTAAATTGGTCACCGGATATGATCCTGGATGTGTGTCTATCGAATTACCTGATGTTCCGTTCGCGAGGGCGATGGATGCTGCCGAAGAAGCCATAGCTGCGAGGCATCTTATGCCTGAGGCTTTATGGAAGTTACTCAGGCTGCTAAAACTTGGAGAAGAGAGGAAATATAGTCAGGCTTGGAAAACCTTGGATCGCGTCGTCAGCGAGTACATTTCGAAGAAGCGAGAAGAGCTGATGAAGAGTGAAAAATCAGGGAATGATGATCAAGATGGAGGTGATCTGTTAACATCATTCATCAATGAAGGAAAGGGCATGGAATTGCCAAATGATGATAAGTTCTTAAGGGATACCATTTTGAATCTCATGATTGCAGGGAGGGATACAACCAGCTCAGCTCTTACTTGGTTCTTTTACCTTCTTTCTGAAAATCCCATTGTGGAAATGAAGATCAGGGAGGAATTACGATCAATTAAATCTCCGGGAGAGGCGGAAAAATGGCGAATTTTCGACAGTCAAGACCTGAACAAACTGGTTTATATGCATGGTGCACTTTGTGAGTCATTGAGGCTGTATCCACCTGTTCCATTCCAACACAAAGAGCCTCTTGAAGCAGACATACTTCCAAGTGGTCACAAAGTTCATCCAAAGATGAAGATTTTCTTCTCTTTGTATGCAATGGGAAGAATGGCATCAATATGGGGGAAAGATTGCAGGGAAATGAAGCCAGAGAGATGGATTTCGGATCGCGGGACGATTAAGCATGAGCCATCATACAAGTTCTTGGCCTTCAATGCTGGTCCAAGGACTTGTCTTGGTAAAGAAATCGCTTTTACTCAGCTTAAAGCTGTTGCTGCTTCTATAATCCACAATTACCAAATCAAAGTGGTTGCAGGGCAAAAAGTTGTCCCAAATGTTTCTGTGATTTTGTACATTAGGCAAGGCTTAAAGGTCAATGTTAGCAAAAGGTGGAATTAGGATATGAAAAAAAAAATGTGGCTCAATTGAGCATTCAAAGCTCAAATGGTTTTTGTATCTGTAGGTTCAGGAAATAATCTCATAAACCAATAATCCTGAATGCGACCAATCCTTTCAAAAATGTTGTTTTTGCTCATCCTAATACTGAAAATCTCTGTCAAAACAGGATTCATCGGAGCAGGGCAATCATCTTGCCAAGATTAATTTTTTTCCCCCTTGAGCTTTGATTTTTGGCAGGCATTTCTTCTTCTATTTCGACACCAGAAGAGCAATCTAGTATACACTTGTTAATTATCAAAGACGTTGCAAAAGGAGAAAAAGTAGTAATACGTCATAAGCAGTCAACAGATAGTTAAGACAGGATCACATCCTATCATTCTACTAATACATTCATCTAAATTACGATTAATTCTTCCTCTAAAAACAAAATCATCCCACCGAATCTGAGTTAGCATTCATCTAAAGAGCTCATTGGGGTGTTCCACCAAAAAGAAGAAAAAGGATGAAAGCTTCTATCAATTTCCTCATCATCATCATCATCACCACGGGGAATTTGCTAGGTTCAAAACCTGTTATCATATTCAATCCAACTTCAACTTTCCGGTCAAATGTTAGTGTACAAAACCAAATAATCTCCCATTGGGTTTTAGGCCATCTCCAACCAGTTGTTGTGAAAAAAGAAGAAGCTCACACAAGCAGCTTGAGCAGGATCGGATTATGAGTTAGAATCCATTGAAGAACTCAGTAAGGTTTTTACACAAGGAAAAGGAGAAGACAATACACATCAAAATTACCCCCAATTTTCCTTTAATAACTCTGCCTACTCCACTATCTAATCTTGGAATCATTTTTTTTTTTTACAGCAAAATATCTGAACATTACGGAAAAATAAGTGAAATTTTAAATGACAAAAGTAGCCACAGCGTTATTTTATTATCCGGTTCTATCCAGTTAATTAGAACTATATTATTAGTAGTATTATTAAAATTTCTCATGATAGAGTAATTTATTACATAGTAGTAATATTTACTTTTGACTACTAAGAAAGTGCCTGGTTTATGGATGTGGAATGAAAGCTTAGAATGCAAAGGAATGCATTGGAATACTTTGAATCATCTTGGATTCATTATTAGTGCTTGGTTACAGAAAATTTTTAGATGGGAATACTTGTAAAATATCATTTATATCCTTATCTTCTACTTTTTATTTCTTTCATACATTTCTCACTTCAAGCTCCTGCCATAGCCGCTAGCCGCGCAAAACCACCATCTCCCCTCTTTCTCCTCCTACATTGCTTCACTCTTCTCCTACTCTATTAACAGCCGCTGCCACCATCTCGATTGCCCCCCGTAGAATTCAAATTACATTCTTAAATTTTTGTTTTGGAGAAAACTAGATCTATGAAAATTTTTTGTTTTTTGGATACTTCGTACACTCCAAATTGGACAAATTTTTTTTACTAGTTATGCCCATTAGAGAATACATTCTTGCTACCTTATGTTAGTTCGAAAAAAAAGGAATGAATTTGATTGAGAAAGAAGAAGAAAAGAGAGGCAAATCCATGATATTTTGACGGGAGGAGAGAGGATCGGGAAGAGTTTTTGATAATTGATAGAATTGGTTGTTGTTGATTACGACTGTTGTTGTTGATGATGGTGGCGTAGAGAATATCGGGAAGAAATCGGCTGTTGTTGATGGTGGTGAGAGTGAGAAGAAAAAAAAGAAAAAAAAAAAGAAGAGAAGATTGAAATTGGAGACAAAGGAGAAAGCCAGAAAAGGAAGAGGACAAAGAAGGGGAAAAACTAATTAGCAAGTCATATCCGCCGAATTAGTTGGGAATGGTTCTATGACTTTCAAACCTAATTTAGTGAGCCCGAGATATTCCTAATATTTGAACCAAGCAATTAAAATTGGGTTTCAAATCTAAAAATTTCATTCCAAGTATTTGAAACCCATGAACCAAGTGCCTCGCAAAATTAGTTGCTTATAGTAAAAAACTAAGTACGGAATACATCATTCTTATTAATATATACAAAGCACAATCTTCACTACTAATTTATTTAACTACATAATTTTAAACCACTTAAAATAATTATTGATAAATAAAAACCACAATACATTTCAACTCACTTAAAAATAAATACTGCAATAATTTACTAAAATACTAAAATGATATAACATTGAAATACAAAAAATACATATTCAAACTTACGACGAATAAATATTAAGATAATTTTAATTATTTAAGAATAGGATACTAATAAATTTGATAACTCAATCACTCACAAACTACAGTACTGTTCATTAGTTATAGATTCCGAACTCTTCAATTAGATTTGAATTTTTTTAAAATCCTTGAGCATTTCCCGAACGTGATCAAACTTGAATCCATTTAGAAATTTAGGATCTTCTCTCATCAATTCTTTTGCACGATTTATCTACATTCCAATATATATTCAGTTATTCGCTCATTACTAAACATATAAAATTTACATTTTAAATATTAAATGGTTAAATGTATACTTACCATATCTAGTGGTAATATACCATTAAAATGTGGGTGTTCGACTTGTTTTATGCAAAAATAAACAACATATGGTGATGAATGACAATAAAGAAATGACATTGGTTCCTGGCTTTTGATTTCGACTTCAATTATATTCTGAAGTCTAGATTTTTGTGATAGCTTACATGTAGGACAAAACTGCCCAAAGAAAAAGAAGAAGGTAGAGGTCAAAATCATCTGCAGCAGTAGGGATTTGTTTGAGCAGAAAGAAATCTTTCAAACCTAGTATTTATGGAAACTTTTCTGAAAGAGCAATTATGTGCTTTTTGAAGGCCACTGCTCTTTTAACATGAAGCTAGCCGAGAGATACATCATTAAATGCAACGAACTGATTGAAATGAAGTCCCGAGGATATTGCGATGTAGCTTTGTGACAGGCAATTGAATCTTGATGGTTTTAACTTGTAAGTTGTGCTATAATTTTCGGATTCAATTTCTAACTCGATAATCTACTTTATGGAGACAATTTGATGCCGCATGACAGTATGATTTGCATTCTTACAACATTTGAAATTTATATGTATATTATGACATATATCTTATTTTTTTTGTCACAAAATAATTATCTAATTTAAATTTTTTTAATACAATTTGTACTAAAAGCAAGAATTCAAACTGAATAACTTTTTCGCGATGGAGGAATTACGTGACGCGATTTTGGCATGATAACCCAAAGGTACATGTCTCAAAATTCATATGGTGCTGCCATTTGTTATATGAGATCATTAGAGAACATGACTTTGACATGTATGCAAACAAGGTAGCAATGTCTTTTTTTCTTTCTGTTTTTTAAATTTCAACCTCGGAACAGGGGGACTTAGAATAGGGAAATTGTATTAGATGCATAATCTGTTGTACAAAATATACAGACTATATATAGACAATAAGAAACCCTAAACTAGAACATAATAGGAAATATACTAAATATTACAATACGCCCCCGCAAACTTACGGCGGAGAAGAGAGAAGCCGAAGTTTGTCCTGAAATCGAAAGAATAACTCTTTGGACAAGGGTTTTGTCAGAATATCAGCAAGCTGATCAGCAGCAGAGATAGAATTGACCGAAACAAACTTACGCCGAACATGATCTCGAACAAAGTGAAAATCAACCTCAACATGTCTTGGACGACCATGGAACACAGGATTAACAGCAAGGAAAACTGCACTACTGTTGTCACACCAAATAGAGGGAGGGCGAAGTAAAGAAACGCCTAACTCGGACAACAGATGACACACCCAATGCAGCTCAACACAGACATTAGCAACCGCACGAAACTCAGCCTCAGTAGACGAGCGAGCCACAGTGGGCTGTTTCCTAGATGCCCAGGCAATGAGATTAGGTCCCAAATAAATGAGAAAACCAGTAGTAGAATGACGATCATCCGGACAACCAGCCCAGTCAGCATCACTAAACGCAGTAAGAGTACCCAAATCTGTAGGATGCAGAACTAAACAGTAATCAACGGTACCACGAAGATAGCGAAGAACCCGTTTGAGAGCCTGAAAATGAGAAGTGCGAGGCTGATGCATGAACTGACAAAGCTTATTAACCGCAAAAGAGATATATGGACGAGTGAGAGTTGTATACTGCAGACTGCCACACAGCCGACGATAAGTAGTCGCATCATCAGGAGACAACAGAGTACCATCCAAACGGGACAACACAACATTAGCCTGCAAAGGAGTGGAAACAGGTTTGCAAGTATGTATATTTGCAAGTCGTAGCAAATCAATGACATGCTTGCACTGAGAGAGAAGCAAACCCTTGGAAGTACGACGAACCTCAACCCCAAGAAAGTAACTCAATGGACCTAAATCTCGAAGAGAAAACTCCTTAGCAAGACAAGAAATAAAATGCTGGACCAAACCAGAAGTGCTGCCCGTAAGAATAATGTCATCCACATAGACCAGTAAAAAACACAACTGAGACCCACGGCGATAGACAAAAAGAGACGGATCACAACGAGACTCCACAAAACCCAAGGTAAGCGAAATACGCCACCGAGAATACCAGCCCGAGGAGCTTGCTTAAGACCATATAAGGACTTATGCAGTTTACACACATAATGAGGACGCACCGGATCAACAAACCCCTGTGGCTGAACCATATACACGGTCTCACTTAGAACTCCATTAAGAAAGGCATTACTGACATCAAGCTGAGAAATCGACCATCCACGAGCCAAGGCAACAGTCAAAACTGAACGAATGGTGACCGGCTTAACAACCGGACTAAATGTGTCAGTGTAATCAACCCCAAAAGACTGAGTAAAACCTCGAGCCACCAGCCGAGCCTTATACCGCTCAATGGAGCCATCAGCATGAGTTTTAATCTTATAGAGCCATCGATTGCCGACAACATTGCCGGAGGAAGGAGGGGGAACTAAAGTCCATGTATTATTTTTGAGGAGGGCGGAAATTTCATCCTTCATGGCATTCTGCCATTGAGGAAGAGATTTGGCTTGTGTGAAGGATGTAGGAGCAGTAGACAAGGCTGGGGAAACAGAGGTAAGATGAGCCGAGGGATCAAAGATTTTCTTGGGCTTGGGTTGTGGACGAAGTGTCATTGAGTGCTGACGGGAGGAAGGAGGAGGAGGTGGCGGCGGAGGACTGCAATCAGATGAAGAAGAGCTGGATGCAAGAGATCTAGCTAACGGTGATGAGTTGGGAGGGATAGGAGGAGATGAAAGAACTGGTGTACTAGAAGGAGACGAAGAAGACACAGAAGACGACGCAATTATACCAGGAGAACTGGTTACACACAACCAAGGGGTAGCAGAAGACTCCAGCA